GGTTGGTTCTTATTGTTGCTTGGTTGTTGGTTGGGTTTTGGTTGTTTGCTGTCGATTGGTTGGTCATTGGCTAGTTGGTTATTGGCTGATTGGTTTTTGGTTGGTTGGTCACTGGCCATTGGTTGGTTGGCCATTGGTTGTTTGCCCATTGGTTGCCCATTGTTTGGTTGCCCATTGGTTGGTTGGTGGTTGGTTGGCCATTGGTTGGTTGGTCATTGGTTGCCCATTGGTTGGTTGGCCATTGGTTGGCCATTGGTTGGTTAGTCATTGGTTGGCCATTGGTTGGTTGGCCATTGGTTGCCCATTGGTTGGTTGGCCATTGGTTTGTTGCCCATTGGTTGCCCATTGGTTGGTTGGTGGTTGGTTGGCCATTGGTTGGTTGGCCATTGGTTGGTTAGTCATTGGTTGGCCATTAGTTGGTTGCCCATTGGTTGCCCATTGGTTGGTTGGCCATTGGTTGGTTGCCCATTGGTTGGCCATTGGTTGTTTGGCCATTGGTTGGTTGCCCATTGGTTGCCCATTGGTTGCTTGGTTGTTTCCCCAAAGCCAAGGCCGGTTTTGAACGCCCTGGCTGTTCCCAGTTTTCCAAAGATCCGGCTCCTGGGGCTCATTCCCAGTGTCCCGGACACTCCATGGAGAGGACTCCGTGTCCCATTTCAGGACGACACCGACATCAACATCGACTGCGCCGGGGACGACAGACACCCCACCAGGAGGGTGTGCAACGTCAGCTACCCCTTCTTCCGAGCCAAGGCCAAGGTAGGACATTCCCAACTTCCCACTGGGCTGCCACGTGGACCTTCTGCCCGCGGGGTCACATCTGGGCAACCCCGAGCAGGATTTTGAGGAGAAACTTTTGGGTTCTTCCCTTTTGGAGCTTGAAAGGCATCTCAGGGGAGCTGGGATGTTTGGGATCCTGCCCTGGTGCTCAGGAGAGCCCCAGAATCCAACCCAGCTTCTCCAGGTGACAGAATTTGCCTCAAATCCTCTGGAAAAATTTAATGTTTGCTTCAAACCACGGATGGGAATTTCCCTGGGCTGATTCCCTGCAGGATGAGGCTCCTTGCCCACCTGAGAGGTTTTCCTTGCTCTGAGGTTCCTCTGGATCCTGTTCCCAATCCTCCCTGGGTGGTGGCATCCTCCAAACCTGTATTCCCAATGTT